CAAATAATTTGAAATATCAAATAGTTCTAGATGACATTAGAAATAAATACCTAATTTGTTTGTCATTCTAAAATGGTAAGATGATTGGCATATCAAATATATAGAAAAATCATTATTAGTTAAAAATGAAATGGAAGTTGATTTGTCTATTCACAGTATGTAAATATAATTTTGCTTTAGTATTTTGTTTGTATACTTTAGTAGAAGGATTTATGCAGACATTCAGTGTGTACACTTATAGCCATGTTGACTGAATAAACGGAAGTTTTCTCTTCTTTGATACAAATATTTAAAAATATATATTTATATGTATTTTGTTTGCCAAACGCAAAAAAGATGTACTAATAATGAAATTTTTCAAAACGTTTTTTGAATGATATCCGGAAATTTTGTAGGTAGATATTTTTTGACCTCATACTAAGCAACATTATTTTTGTTCAACTCATGAACCCATCGAAGTTAGATAACCACTGAAAACATGAAAGGCATAGGTGACCGTTTTTTCCTTGCATGGGAATCCTGAGTAATATCTTTCTATAACCCCGCATTCAGAAGTCGGAATCAAAACCTATGGTCTTGCTCTCAAAAGCTCAGACTCTGACCCATATCAATCCATGATATCGTGCGACCATTTTCATTGCCTTTGGTGGGTATCTTAAAACTTTAGAGAGTTTAGCTCCACTGGTCGCGGCTTCTCGTTAGAACTAAAATTTTCTCTTGGTGCTAGTCACTACTAAGCACAGGATGATTGCCAGTATGGAGTTGTGGAGATTGTCGAATCTTATTGTAATCATGAACTGATCCAAGTTGAAGGATAGTTGTGCAGTATCGTGGATTGATTTAAGTTGAACCTGTACACCATTGAATCCCAGGTCATTGATCTAGAGGTTAAGGTTACTAGAAAAGATACGATTCGATAGTTTATACAAATCCATACATCATATGTTTAACAAAGATGAATAATTGTTTATTTTGTGTTTTGCTGAACGTAATTTTCAACCAAATGAGATTTTTTGTTCGTTTGTTTATGAACTTGCAGAATATCTGATTTGGGTTCGTTCTTACTTATTTTGTTTAGAAAAGTAATATAGAATGACTCATACATAAATTGTGTAAACGGAAACAAAGTTGAGTAAATAAAAATAAACGGCCAGAAATCTGTATCAGTAATTGACACAGTATATGATTTTGTTCTATGTAAATATACTGATATGTCTGGGGATCTTTTTGAATTTCACGATAAAACTTCATTGATCTTTACTGTTTTATTGCACATATACGCGTAACTATATCTGATTTTTATTATGCTGGATTTGAAGTCTGATGTTTCTCCACTCAAATTTTTCTGATACCGCCAGTAGGATATGACATTTGGCTAAATGTTTGACAATTTTTAATGGTTTTATTTCCAGGAAGAAATGAAAAGTGCCTTCAAATAAAACAGTGTTTCACGTTACTACTTAGGAAAGATGGTTTCAAAAATAAATATATTTTTCTCGTGTGATTTTGGCTATCTTGGGTTTTGAAAGACATTCGTCTTCTATAATATGATCCCTATGCTGTTCAGAAGTTTTCTCTTTGTCAGTTTGTGATGCAAAACCTAGTCTGAGGATTTAGAGAACTTGCATAGATTCCAGGTGTACATTCAAAAGCTTTATTAAACTATTGCTCTTGTATATTAGGATCTCATAAGTATGTAGTTTTAAGGCGAGACATTTGGTTCTAGATACAAAATAGCAGCCGATTATTGAGGTTGTAAAATTTCATCATGTGACGTGGTTCAAACATGTGTTATACGTGCCAAGCAACACCCTTTTAATAGAGAATGTAGTAATAGTGAAAATAATTTAAAAGGCGGAGAAACTGAAACACATCATTAGTTCTTTACATCACTGCCTGTCAATCAGAGGTATTCGGTAAGATCTAGACTTCCAATTGGAAACTGATGGCATGACTGAAAATCATTTTTCATGACAAAGTTCTATCAATTATCTGCTTTCCTATAAATCTTAGGTTTAATATTATTCCATCGTTTTTACCCATCAAATTTATTTCTTCTTTTGAAATTATGTTCTCCATGATAATCTTTTCATTTCAGTTAGTACTGATTTCTTTTCTATGCTTTATCTACTGGTCATTTTTATCTCGCTATGCTGATATATGTGGCAGTTTATACCGATATATTCGTCCTAGATCTTACGTTTTTCTTAGTCAACCGATAAATGACTAAGTTCACCCAAGGGAAATGGAATATTACAACAACGTTAAGAGATTGTAGATATGACTGAATTCAACATACATACATATATGCTCATATATGTTCATGTTTCAGTAGTAAATGTTTTTCAGTATATAATGAGAGTTCATTTTTCTCCCTTTTCTTTATCTTTTCAAAATAATAATTTATTTATTCACTATCTATCAATCATTATTTATGTCTCATCAGCCTATAGGGTCAATAAATACTAGCCTTAAACAAATTAAGAACAAATGAGAAGTGACAGGTATCTCCCTTTATTTATGTAGAAAAGGCAAAGTAAAAAAGCTATTATAACCCTTTCTTTTCAACGATGAATATAATAGTAATAATAATAATAATGACAATAGTATCTATTTCATGAGTTGTTTTTATTAATGTTGAGCATAAAATCTCATGAGTTGCTATAGTACTGAGAGTTTATGATTAAATAAATGCACACAAAGCGACAATGACAGCATATCATTTACAGTACTGCTTATGAATTAAATGTAGGTAAATTGTCATTGAATCCAAATGATCTACTTTGGAAATAAATTTTATTAAGTAATAGGATTAAAATGAGTGAAAATGAAGAGTTTGTTTCTCTTCCCCTTTTAGATTGTCCTTAATTATGTTTTTGTTGAATTCATATTTGTCAAAATGATTATTAAGTATTTATGATATATTATAACAAAAAATATTCAGTCAGTATTCCATGACAAATGAACATGACATAGTCTGATACGTAATCTAAATGCATAATTACATTTAGAAACACATTAAGTTTGCATAAAAATGTAAGTACATACCTTTAGTTATTCAAAGGTCAATTATGGATCTTTTCAACTAATGTCTTACGGTGGTAATATTGAGTGAGTATTCCTTATGTTAAGTATAAGGAACTGGGTAGAGATAGTAAAAAAGGTTGATGAGCCTGTAAGCAATTCTCGACTGTGATTGTCGGAAGAAGAGCTAGGTATACACAGCAATGAAAAACATCAAAATGAAATGCTTGTCAGCGAAGTTGTAGATTGAAGGAACCATTTAGAGACGGTCAGATCAATATAGAACTTAGTGATAAAAGTCTTATATGACATAATTTAAGATTGGATGTAAGGACATAGATTTATTCACTTTTTATCTCCTACCCATCCCTATATTTTGAATTGTTATACAATTCTCATTTCTCTACTTCATTTTGTTACATTATAACCTACAAACCCTATGTCATGTTTGCAACTTATAACGTTTTAATTCTATATTATTACATTTAACGTTTTGCCCTTGAGTTTAAGGTATAGGATTTTGAAACAACATAAGTTTGTACTAAGTTTAATGTTATATACCGATATGTGTACTATTATGTATACATACTGAGAAGTAATACATTTCGGATCAGGATAAATTTTATATACGGTCAGCTGAAGATTTTTTCATTGCTTTGTGCTTTGATTGATATTGATTTTGCGTAGGAAAAATTAAACACTTTCCATAATTCATTTTGATGGTCAGTCTTAAGAGAGGTGAGTCGAATGATAAAAAATAAGTGACTTGCTAGTTATTGGTTTTAGAAACATGTTTCACCAATTGATGTCTTTTTTTCTAAAACATACTATGAAATACTACTAGCTAATCATATTTATTACTAACTGTTTATCATAAATAGTTAATTATCGAATAATTTATAGCTCTTTTCATATTTCTTTCTAATGAAGCTTATGAATAACAATAAATCAGAAGTGTTTTTTTCGAAAATGCCAAAGATTTAGTAAACTGTTAGTTTCAGTCAAATTTGGAAAGTAGTTATTTTCACAATCTGCTATCAGTCAAGAATATTACTAACACGTAATGTCCATATTGAAGTTTATGAAAAACCATCAGTACGATCTGTCAGTTTATTGTAAAAGTGGTGTAAGATGAAAAATTTCCTCATAATGGAATGGTCATAATATTTTTCTAAAAATTAAGACGTTTTTTATAAGCAAAGATGGATGATGGCGAGCAGTGGTATTCAGGAAGCGCTTTTCTCTCTATTTGTGACTTGTCAGGTGATTGTATCTTTAAGTTTAGATATGACTGAATTCAGTATATATATAACTATATATATATAACCATCCATCTCTACTTATAATGTTGCGACTTAAGATAAAATCGAGTCAGTCGGCATAGGACGCACATATGCTAATAAGGGACTGATCAATTACAGTCCCGAACATCACTGGGAAGACAGAAATAACCAAAAGAAAAATGAGTGTTAAGTTTGTATTGAAAAATCTTCTGCTTAACCGAACAAGCTATGAAGAACACTGGGAATTGTGTCAAAAGAATTTCTCCACATAATGAAGCTTTGTGGTACAAATTTTTATCAACAAAATACTACTCGCAGGCGTATTCAAGGATAATATAAACAGTCGTTGAAGAATTCGACTTCATGTAGATTGAGGTATCGACGATGTACAAGTATTTTCTTACATTAGAGCATAGCTTAAATTCATTTCATTTCAATAAAGAATAAAAATGGTGTATCCGGACAATTATTTTTGACAGTTATCAACTAATCATGTAAGGATTTGAACAAAAAATAAGTAGAAATTTGAAATACCGGTAATTTTCTGATCTTAATATTTGGTTATATGGGAAGTATTTAGGATAGTTTGCCCATAACAAAATATTGTTGAGCTATTGTTTCACTTAAAGTTATTTATAATAACATTATTTAATTTGTTTTTCTCTGTTTAATGTTTCTCTTTTCTTCACAAAGATTTTGGTGGAGAGCATAGTTCCGGTGATGAGAGTGAAGGTGAAGTTAGTTGGATCGAAGGTGTTGCTATACTTTGTGCTGTTGTGGTTGTAGTTTTAGTAACAGCAACAAATGATTGGCAGAAAGAAAAACAATTTCGTGGTTTACAAGACAAAATTGAATCAGACCATAAAATGTCTGTTTTACGAGATGGTGATATTACAGAAGTACTAGTTGGTGATATTGTTGTTGGTGATATATGTTTAGTGAAATATGGTAAGTGAGCTTTTCCATAATTTAGCTTATCCAGAAAATAATTCAGTATTTAATCTTCCTACTTTCATTTTGCTGCTGTTTCTTTACAGATTTGATTGTAATATTTAATTGTTTATACTTAGATTATTCTTAAATGTTACATAGATAGTTGTTTCTTTTAAAATTAGTATTGTCAAATTTCTTTCATCTTACTACGCAAATAAAGAAACATTTATAAATTGTTATCAGATGATCATTTGAATAGTGTGCTATGAATCTAACGTGATTTAGACTGACCATTTTGTTAGCCTGTTCTATGTTCACCATTCGAATGTATTTGTTTTCCTATCTAAACCAATTTATTAGTTATCTATCGGATAGCCTATACATTCATCTAGTCAAAATAAAATTGTTCTGATTAAAAAGTATTACATTGAAATCATGAATCAATTTCAGTTAGACCGCCACTGAAAACATTGGAATAATGAACTGACGTCCCATCCTAATATAGGACTCCTCAACAGTGAGCATCCACCATCCTGAATATAGTACTGAGATCAATGTCGTCCAAGTTCGCGGGCAAACGCTTAACCTCTAGACCTTTGAGCCAGAATTCAACGGTGATAATGTACAACCTTGTTCAATCTACGAGTTTCATACTAGGACGATATGGCTGTCTAGTACTCCAAGGTTTTTCAGTGATGACCTGACTCAGATTGGTTCATGATTCCCATGAAGTTTAACAGTTTTCACAACCCCATGATATTTTTCTGTTGATAGAAAAAGCATATTTTGTTTAAGAGAAATTAATATATGACTTTTTTATAAAACTGTTTGATTGAATGAGTCACATAATAAATTATGAGAACCAACTTTCATAGGATGGGAACGTAACAGAAGATTAAAAACTAATAATACTAACCTTATGTATTTTCGAGAAAATAATATGAGTTATCAGTTTGATTGTCAAAATGTCATACATTTGGTTTCTTCAGTCGGTTTAGAAAACAGTGTTTAGATTATATTGCCATTTATTTATATTTATAATGCTTCTTTCTATGTTAGAATGTTCATTTTCCATTGATCTGCTAGATTAAACGACTGGATTAGTTTTTTTGGTTTACGACTAATGAATATATCTCTGACGGGGGTGGTAAACTTTGAGGTGTTCTTCATATTTAAGTCTACTTAATTAAGACATTGTATTGAGCCACTAATTTGAATATTTTGTCTAGTTTTCTTTAACAGTATTTATTTGTAAATTAATCTTTCCCAACTGTATCAAGTTATCTAATGATATTTTTATCAGATAATTATTGTTTTTTGCCTACTTTACACACCGAGTTTTATGCAACACTTTAGTATCATAGAGATTTACATAAGATTTATTACACTTCAATGAACCTCTCTCAGACATGAAATTCAAACGCGTTGTTTCATTTATAAATCTCCCAAAACATGCAATTAGTTTTTATAACTTGGTTGGTAAAATACCAAATATGCAACTGAAATCTAATATTTTTATCTACATTTATTTATAGGGGAATTTATCAACTGTCTTTGCATTTAATTAAAGGATAATTTTCATCACGAACTGAGGTCAAACAGTAAACCAATAAAAATAAGGAGGCTTTAGGGGTCTCTTTTGCCTTATACAGAGCTATTCAGAATTGTGTACACTTCATTATTTGTTACGGAAACAAAGCACTTTCTTTCGGTTTTAACAGTGAATATAGAACATTTCAAATTAGATTCATATGGCTAAAGTCAGATTTATTGCAATATTTATTTAATATAAATTACTTCATTGGATTTAGTTGGATTGCAAATGTTGATGTACCGTATTACATAAAGACTAAACAATCACTTAGTTCTTGAATATGTGTTTTGACTGGTTCATTAGGTTTTTGTTAATTAAAAAAATGTATATAATTAAATCTGACAATAAATATTTAGCTCATATTACAGTTGTGACAATATCAAATCAAATCACTGTGTTACATCATTCAGAGATACAAAGTACATTCAAGGAGTAACGCATATTGTAGCATTGTAATAAATTCTAAATGTTATCACTGATATTGTAAAATTCAAATGTTTCAGTGAATTTCAACGCATAAGTTATTTGATATTTCATGTTAATCCATATGGAATGTAATTCGTATATTTCACAAAAGTTTAAGGATACGTTATAAAATAAATTGAAACATAACAATTTAGTTGTTAAATATGTAACAGAATTAATAAAGAATTAGAAGAATCGATCAATTAAGTATGAATATAAAATATGATTATCAATTTGGAGAATCTTATTTTCTTTCTTTCTTTAACATTGCAAGCCAGTGAGACATGATGAGAATTTCAATGTTAACACTTACTTTCCTTGCTAAATTTTATTCATTTTCGACACTCTTGAAGGAGTGAATACTTGTCATATATACAAACATATATATGTATGATCAGTGCTATAAACTTTTCTATGCTTAATAGACTGAAACGTCTTTTACTGAAGAAAAATATCTAGATTAGGCGTTGTATCACTACATTTCTTTATTTAGGTATGCTACACCTAAGTTCATGGGTTATTCTCCTAGTTTCTGGTTTTCCCTCTGTTCATTATTGTTATTATTATCATCAGCTTCTTGACCTTGATTTTTACATTTTAAATAATCGAGAACATGCATTAATGAACTCAACCGACAAAACAGTAAGCACAAATGAATTTCATTTTCATTATTTGCTCTTTATTGATACTTATTATTATTTTAAATAGATTAATAAGAATATGATTATTTTCTAATTCGTCCACTAACTTTCTCTTTCCTTTCAGTAATTTTTCTGTTTATTTTTCTTTTTCTTATCTTTCCATTCTTCTATCCTGTTCAGCTTCTTTTTCTATTTTCTTCCTTAACATTTTCTCTTCTCTCCACTTACATTGCACATTCTTTTTCAATCAGCTATGCATTTATTATAATTTGTTTGTTTTCGTTTCTGTTTTCGTCATAATCTTTTCTTTCTTACTGTTCCACTTTTTTATTCAGTAGATTCTTCTGTTATTTTTTGTTTGCTTGCATTCAAAATCAAATGGAAATCAGAATATTATATTTAATAAACTGTTCTGTTGTTGTTTTACTGTAATACTTTATATTCAAATATCAACGTTTATTTGTTTGTTTTGAGTTCACTTGTATTGCATTGTATTTTTGTTATTGAGCTCCAACTTTAAAGATTTTTGAGAAAAAAATATCGATTTAATAACATACTTATCTATGCATATATATATATAATAAGATAATTAATTATATAAAGATAAGCGAAATAGTTGACCAAAACATAGTTATCCGCGATAATTCAATAATAATAATAATAAGTAATAATTATATTACAAATTAAATTTAATCTGCATTCACTTCAATGTTTTCTGTTTTTAAGTTTAATATAAGTTTTCTTGATTTAATTACATTTTTATTTTTTTTTATTTTTTTCGAAATAAACGTTAAAAGGTAAACTTTATCCTCATTTCTTTTTTTTCTTTTTAATTAATTTTATTATTTTTTTATAAAGAATAATTTGTTTGGATTTTTTTTTCCGAAACAAAGTAGCACAATTGTTTGGTAAACATGGTAAACATGACAAATACAATTAACATCATCTACTGCATTATGCAATGTAAACGTTGTTTATATAGTTGAGTTATTTTTTTTTTGAAATTAACAAAATAAGAGCAATGGAATATTTAGAAAGATGGAATGACTAATATCAGTCTCAACGTGATTAGCTATAGATTTATTAGTTCATTATTGTTGATTCGGATACGAACCTTTCCTTATTCATGTCGAATATTCAATGTTGATCTCAAAATGATAATCAGATATTTTAAATATTTCCAGAGTTGATTAAACCAATGAAGTATCTTGTTGCTATTGTTTATAAGCATTTAAATAAACATTAAGCTAAAACGTTTAAAAAAATTAATATCCTGTAAAATTTTTTGAGGACGTCAGTCAGTCAGTTAAACAAAAACTTAAAACCTATAACGTATCTGCATTGTTTCAAATTGCCATGCCAAGTTGGCCCAACGGATCCCAGATGGGTGGAAGCAGTAATAGTGGTAGAAACCATTAGGTTATAAATTAATTCAATTAAAAAATATTAAAAACTGTAATATAACTTTGAAACTCAGTATCTAAGGGAAGATCAAGAGTAATTCCATCTACCCTATTGCAATCGATTCTAATCCATGTAGCGCGATTTCCAAGCATCGAGTACGATAATGAGACTGGTTGCAATAATTAGTCTGCAACTACTCATACTGTTCTATCTAATGGCCAACAATTTCGCTTCTAGGTTTAGCAACTTCTAGCATTCTTCTAATATATTTCTCTACCAGCCGTTTTTCTTATTGTAAACATTTTTCTGCGAATCCCTCTTTAATATGCATGGATTATACTACACAGATTTGTCTTTTAAAAAAGCTACTTGACGTGATATGTCAACATTTTCAATTTATTATTGTAGGCATAAATGGGCAACCGTTTATTTTCTTTTCTTTTAGAAATTATATGAATGAGAACATGAAAAGGCTCTTGTTTTTTAACCTAGATGATCAATTCTTTTAGCAATGTTATTCTTTTTGATTATATTTTGTTTTTATGTGCGATTCAAATCACTAAACGGCAAATTCTCTTTTTTCATATTGAAGATTTGTTAGACGTTGTTTACTATTTTTTAGACTTTCGAACTTATTTTTACGGTTTGTTTTTATACTTTGTATGGTATATTAAGTTATTTATGCTGTGAATAAATTATCTGGCTACTCATTACAATGTTTCGAACTAACAAAATGTGTTTGTACCGCAACTTGTTTAACAAATAGAGCTCTATGCACTCGGTTTTAATCCATACTGTTTCGGATTTATGACGGCTTTACAGTCTATCTGGTTGATCTTACAACTTATCAGTAGAAAGCGAAATACCTAAAGTAATAAAACCATTCGTTATTTTGATGTGTTGTACAACTG